GCTGTGTTCATCCAGCCCTGCACCTTGTTGTCTAAGAGTCATCCATATTGCTGTGGAGTCACATATAGGCCAGTCCAGGTGGTGATGGCAGTTTCCTTCCCTAAAGGACATTTGTGAACCAGATGGGTTTTTCCCACAATCAACACTAGATACATGGTCATCATTAGACCCTTAATGCTAGATGTGTATTGAATTCAAATTCCTTAGACTACGATCCCTAGTTCTAGACTCCACCTGTCTTCAGGAACAACCTTCTGGCATCTATGCTGTCTAGTTTTGCTGGAATTTTATAGGTTTTTTTGTAGATTCCCCATCATTCTTCTGAACTCTAGTGAATATAGTCCTAACTGATTCAGTCTCACCTCATATGTCAGTTCTGCCGTCCCAGGAATGAAACTGGTAAACCTTCACTGCACTCCCTATAACAAGAACATCTTTCCTCGGGTAAAGAAACCAAAAGTGCACACAACATTGCATATGTATTTTCACAATGCCCTAAATAATTGCAGCAAGATATCCTTGCTCCTGTACTTGAATCCTCTTGTTATGAAGGCCAATATACCACTTGTCTGCTGCACCAGCGTGCTTATCTTCAGTGTACAATGGCACCCAAGTCTCATTCTTCATTCCCCTTTGCCAATTTACAGCCATTCACTTAATAGTCTGCCTTCCTGTTTTTGCTACCAAAGTAGGTAACCTCATATTTATCTACTTATTATAATCGCATCTGCTATGCATTTGTCCATTTCCTCAGCTAGGCCCATCACACTGAAGCATCTCTGCATCAACCTCACAGTTCACTATCGCACTCACCCGCTTTTGTATATCTGAAAATATTGAAGTATTGTATTTAGTTCCCCCATTTAAATCATTAACATTTATTTCAATAGCTGGCGTCCTAGCACTGACCCCTGCAGTAACCCAACTAGCCTGCCATTTATTCTTACTCTTTATTTTCTGCCTGCCAACCAGTTTGCTATCCATCTCAAACCATTACCCAAATCTATGTGCTTTCATTTTACATGTTAATCTCTTATGTGGGATTTTGTCAAAGGCCTTTTGAATGTTCAAATAAACTAGATCTACTGGCTCCCCCGATCAACTCTAAAGTAACATACTTGAAGAATTCCAGTAGATTTGTCAAACATGATTAGCCTTTTATAAATCCATGATGACTGTGTCCGATTCTGCCACTGTTTTCCAAATGCTAAGCAATTAATTCTTCTGTAATGGACTCTAACATTTCCTCACTACCAATGTCAGGTTGATTGGTCTGTAATTCCTGGTTTTCTCTCTACCTCCTTTCTTAAATGGATGTGTTACATTAGCTACCCTCTCATCTATAGGAACTATTCATGTGTCTATAGAATTTTGGAAGGAGGCCACCAATGCCATAATTATATTTGGGGGCACTTCCTTCAGTTCTCTGGGATGTAGGTTATCAGGGCCTGCGGATTTAGCTGCCTTCAATCCCATCAATTTCCTCAATGCCATTTCCTTACTAAAACAGACTTGCTTCAGTTCCTCCCTCTCACTAAACCCTGTGCCCCCCAACATTGCCTGTGTGAGATTTGTGTCCTTCTTTGTGAACACAATATCAAAGTATGTATTTAGTTGGTCAGCCATCTGTTTGTTCCCCATCATAAATTCCACTGTTTCTGACTGTAAGGGACCTACATTTGTCTTCATCAAGTATTATAACTCCTCCATTATGAGAGCCACAACAGACTGATTATTGCCACTCCCTGCTACCTCGTGATCTGATGGAGAATTGTTGGAATTCAAGTGGTGAAAGAAATATATTCAAGAGCCTGAGCTCTTCACTTCCTGAATGAGAGTTGAGCATTTTTCCTTTTAAGATTTGAGGTAATCTTTTATGTCTTTTTATTAAATTCTTTTATAATTTGTACATTTGGGGAAAAAACAGAAGTGCCATCAACCCTGAGGCTCATGCTAGAAAAGAAAGCAACAAGAAAAGGTAATTTGGTTCAAATTTGATTTTTCTGCCAACTGCATAGAGCTATCTGGCTTATTTGTTTTTGTGATCTTCTGAATCAGTCCTAAAATTACCTGGACAATGCAATGGGGAGACAGGGGCAGCTTCTTATGGGACTTTCCTTGTGAGTGAGTTAGCTCTTCTGTTTGATATCTGAATGTTTACCAGCTGCACTGTGTGAGATTATGAGGGCGGCACCATATTTTTCTGACTGATCGTTACCACAACAACAGAATGCCACGCATTTTCATCAAGTACTCGATCTGCTGCCTCAACACGTTATCCAAATATCTCAACTTGACAGGAAACTCTTGGATATCTGAGCCAGCACATAATCTCGAACCATCCCGGCAGCAAGATCTGCTATCTAAAATACTTGCAATACATCTGAGTATTCAAATTACACATTCAAACTTGTTCATCTAAACATGCAACAGCCATTACAGCAAGTGAACTAATTATAACAGCAAGGTACCAAATAAAATTGCTTGTTTATGTACAGCATCTGTGACCTTTGCTTTAGTACATAATGCCATAAATCTTTCACCATATTAACAATTTATGAGGAACTAAATGTGGGTTACTATCATAAACTGAGCAGTCTAACTATTCTTCATTTATGTTTCATGTAACTGAACAAATATAATACTCATTTCAGGATTTAGATATGTAGAATATTACTTGCATTTTTCCATCAAACTTTCAAATGTTTGTGATATAAATGTACAAGCGGCTTGGTGTACAACATAACCTTATTTAGGAACATGTTTTTCAGCAGTTACTGATTCTGCAGCAATGCTTATATCGATGTTGTCCTCTAATAAATGCTTCTTTGTTTCTCAGCCAGCCCTTCACGTCACAATATAGCAGACTGGCGAATGCAGAGTATTGCTCGAGATTCTGATGACAGCTCTGATGATGAATTCTTTGACGCACAAGGTACAAAATAGTTAGTGCTTAGGAAAAAGTCTGAAGCCTTGATAATATTACTGTGCAACTATGGGAACGGGTGCAGGTAACCCAGTTACCAGGATAAATCTTCATTGACCTTGGTGCCAAGGTCAGAGTTGCACTGTCTTTGTCCTGAATTTTGGATTTGCTTTGTGCGTATTTTGTTACTGTCAACTTTGTATTACCTCAGCATCTGGTTGATGTCTGGTCAGCATCTATAGAATGGCTAATAGAGGATGATCTGTTTGTAAATTCGGTATAATTAATTCTATGAGGGAGTTCTACATAATATTGGATTAGCTAAATACCAGTGACTCTTCCTCTACCAATCATTCATTGCTAATACTGAACCTATGTTGTTTTATAGTAAAAGAATACAAATGAAGGTCTAGAGATTGGTTATTGACCTGATCTCTCCATTGCTTCCTCACTGTGATCACACAATTACCATCATTTCATCCAGTGCATATTTAAGTACAAAAGGACTTCATTTTAAATATGAGCTGCCTGTTGTTAAACCCCAGTCTACAGTAGCATATGTGGGAGATTGAGCAGTTTACCTGAGTGGCTTCCTGCAGTATTTGGAATACTTGAATATTTCTTAGATTGCTTTTTTAAGCGTAACAAATTGAAAGTGCAGTCAGTGAGGTTCTGTATTCAGTACCATTTAATATTTAACCCGATTGCTTAATTGTAAACCCGGTTGAACTTTTTAAAATTATATCCACTATAATTTAATTTTATAGCTGTTCCCCCACCCAATAATCACAGTGATAAACCTGAAATTCAGAGAATATTGTACAGCAATTATGCATTCATAACTTTTGGATACATCAAATAATTTCAAGAAAGTATTTGACAAAGAACCACATAATACTCAGTTTTTCTATCCAGCCTTTTATGTACTGAGGGTCATTGTCTGTCAGAATTAGAAAATATTGGCTTTCTCTTTATTTGTTTGTGGGATGTGGGTGTCAGTGGCTTGGCCAGCATTTATTACGCAATTATCTTGGAGAAGATGATGGCGAGAGTCTTCTTGAACCTTTGCAGTCCTGGCAGTGTAGGACACCCACAGTGCTATTAGGGAAGGAGTTCCAGGATTTTGACCCAATAAAAATAAAGGAATGGCAATAGTATTCCAAGTCAGGTGTGAGACCTGGAAAAGATCTTGCAGATGATGGTGTTCTTGGACCTTGTAGATGGTGGAGGCTTTGGAAAGTCAAGTGGTGTGTTGCTTGCTGCCGAATTCCTCGCCTCTGACCTGGCTTTAGTAGCCACAGTATTTATGTGGTTGATCCAGTTCAGATTCTGACCAATGGTAACTCCCAGAGCAGTGATATTGGGGAGGTCAGTGATGATAATCATAGAATCCCTACAGTGTAGAAACAGGCCCTTCGGCCCAACAAGTGCACATCAACCCTTGGAGCATCCCACTCAGATCCATCCCCCCCTATAAATCTATAATCCACCTAAGCTGCATATCCCTGAACACTACAGGCAATTTAGCAGGGCCAATCCACCTAGCCTGCACATCTTTGGACTGTGGGAGGAAACCCATGCAGACATGGGGAGAATATGCAAACTCCACACAGACAGTAGCCCATGGGTGGAATCGAACCCAGGTCCCTGGCGCTGTGAGGCTGCAGTGCTAACCACTGAGCCAATTTCATTGATAATGCCAGCAGGTCCGGAAGCATCTGTGGAGAGAAAGCAGAGTTAACATTTTGGGTCCAGTGTCCCTCCTTCAGAACTGAGTGTGGCTGGGAAAAGTTTAGAGTGGAGCTTCTCAACACTGTTTCTAGCACAATTAAGTATTGCTTTAAAATAAGGAGACCAAAAGGTACCCATTTTCTTCTGGAGATTGTAACAACTACCAATGGGTCCCAACCCAAAACGTCAACTTTCCTGCTCCTCTGATGCTGCCTGGCCTGCTGTGCTCCTCCAGCCCCACACTGTGTTATCATAGTTTCTCCTGGAGTGGTTTTAGCAAGGTCCTCTATGATGGCAGTAAAACCTCACTACTTTTATATTCTTTTCCCTTTGTGATAAATGCATTCCATTTGCCTTTTTAAGCACTGTGTAGCTAGATACTGTTTGTGATTCACACAGTAGTGTGTGCAGTTCCCACTCTACCCAAGTTCTGCAATTTCTCAGCATTTAGATGGAAGACTGTTTTTCGATTCCTCCTGCCAAAGTGAACAAGTTCACATTGGTTCATAATGTGGGACAATCTGTATTCAAAGAAGTCATTTGATAGTACAAACTTGAATATTGCTGAAAATAGACTTATTTGTTCAAAGCTTTTCATCTTGCACGCACCAGGACATTCACAAGAATACTAGTACAAAGGGGAACATGATTTCATATTGTGTAAGAAGAATAACAGACAGAAACTCCTCTGATTCTTTCTTTCTCACTGGGAGAAGTGCTTGCCCAGATTAAATATGAAAGCATGCCTCTCTACTGTCCTACCTTTTAAACTAGTTGCCAAGTTCACTTTAGCTAGCTCTGCCTTCATACGCTTACTTTGAATTTACTAAGAGACAAATCTTCACTGACCTATAATTGAAATTGCTACTGATTTTGCTGTCTGCAACCTGCACTGAACCCAGCCGATGGTGATGTGTTCCCAAGGTTGCTTTGCCATACTTGGAGCTCGTTGGTTGTGCTGACCAACTTATGTTTGTTGTGTCAGCTGGGCTCAATGATGCTAATGTCCTCTTCCTCTGTCTGCAGGAGACAAATTCTTCCTTTTGATGTTTCTGCCCTAATAATGGGGCTTGGCAGACTTTGCAATATCAATCTCCTGAACTCTTGAGCTTGATTAATTCCTGTAATTTATTCACATTGTCCAAGACTGCTTCAGTTGAATATGGGAATTTTACACTGGAGTGAGAGTGGTGAATAGAATGCTAATTTATAAAAAGGGATATAAAGATAAACCAGGAATACTCTGCTCAACATTGTTGTTGGTTGATTGAGGAGTGTGGCATTGTGTGACAGGTAGAGAGGACTAAAAGGATCTGATGTTTATTCTTATAGTTGTATGTTCATTTCATGTAGTGATTAAGGATTTTTGATCTAGTTTTCTGTTCAAACTTCCTAAATAATTCCACACTTGAGCCTCATGTTATCCTTTTCAACTGCACAGAAGATTTTTCGGACAATGAGGAGATCTTCCCTCAAGAAATCACAAAGTGGAATTCAAATGATCTTATTGATAAAATTGGAGCAGGTGAAGCGGAGCAGGGCCAAAGTAAGTTGTTTGTTCAAAGTTATTTGAAAACTTTAAAAAGAATTAGCTTTATTTCAGTTCAGTGAAGTTTGAATTATAAAATCATTGACAATACTCCCTACCCCTGCTCTTTCCCCTTAGCACTAATTGCTCCTCTTCAAGTGTTTGTTTAATTCCCTTTGAATGGTACTATTAAATTTACTCCTGTTGGCCTCAGGAAATGCCAGATTTACATCATAACATTTCATTGTGTTTATCGAAAAACTGTCCTAATTCCTCCCACCATCCTTGCACCAAGAGTTTGACAGTTACTTTAAATTTATGCTCTTTTGTTACTGACATTCCTGCCGTTTGTGAACAGTTTCTCCATATTTACACTTTCAAAACCTTAACAATTTTGAACACAAGAAACTGAGGTAGGAATAGGTCTTTCAGCCCCCCAAATTTGCTCTCATTATGTAAGATCATAGCAGATCAGATCTTAACTCCACATATTTCCCTGTACCCATAATCTGCAAATCCTTTGTTGATCAAAGATTTGTCTAATTCAGCATATTCAATGCCCCAACCTCTGCTGCTGTCTGCCAGAGAGAATCCCATAGACTGACGACAGAAAATAAACTTATCCACATCTGAATCTTAAATGGGAGACGTGGTTCTAGACTACGCCCCGGTTCTAGATTCCACCATGAGAGGAAACATCCCTTCAGCATTTACTGTGTAAGGATCCCCTTAGAAATTTATAGGTTTTAATAAGATCATCTCATTCATTTATTCCAATGTGTATAGGCCTAATGAGGCCAATCTTTCCTTAGACAACCCTGTCATCCCAGGAATCACCCTGAAGTCTCATTTCAGAGAGACACTGCTGGCGTTCTGTGAAAAAAGACATTCACCCCATCTGATTAAAATGGAAAGCCACTTATTTTTAAACCATGGCCCCTAGTTCTGAATTTGCATAACAGGAAACATCCATTTTGCATCTACCATGTCAAGACTCCTCAGGAGGAATGAAGATTTTTGTGTTTCAATAAAGTTGCCTCTTACCCATCTAAAATTCCAAGGGACACAAGCCGAATCTAACATTTCCTCAAAAGGTGTCCCACCTGTTACAGGTAGAGTTTTGCCAACCTTCTTTGAACTGCTTCCAACATATTTACATCCTTCCTTCGATAAGGTGACCATTTCTGTACACTACTCCAAATGTCGTCTCTGTAGTGCCCTGGATATCTGAAGCACAACCTCCATTTGTCTTTCCTACTTACTGTACTGGTATTTTGTAATTTGTGCACTAGATCTGTCTGCATCTTATTTAGATAATGAGCTTTTTGATTTGTTGTGAAAAAGTTGACAATTTCACATTTTCCCATTTTATGTTGTATTTGCCAAATCTTTGTGCACCCACTTGACCTAGCTATATCTTTTTGTAGCCACTGTGTTCTCTTCATAATTTACTCTTCTGTATATCTTTGTCATCAGCAAATTTGGCAACCATGCCTTCAGTTCTGTCATCGAAGTTATTTATATAAATTGTAACCAGAACCCTTGGCGCACCACTTGTTTCATACAGACATCTGGAAAAAAATCCATTCATGTCTGCTGGCTGCTTTCTGTTAGCTATCTATGCCAAATTGCTACCCCACTATACCATGAGCTTTTATTTTCAGTAATCATCTCTGTAGAGGGCAACTAGCTCAATACAAACTGGGGATTAAATTTGGGATCTACGTGGAGTATGTTTCACCGCTAGTGCTGTATTCAGAGTGTAATTGGGACTGAACAGGACAGCTGGGATCCATGAGGACTGTGTTTCAGTCACTTTCCTTTCCTATAGGACACACTACTTAATTGGCAGCAGCTCAGGTTTCCCCTCCACTGATGACGTACCTGGACTTAGAGCCAAGTGTAAGAGGAATGTTCTAACAGACACAATGTGCTTTGGCGTGATACACCACACACTGAACTCCTGTACCAATTGTACTTTCAGAAACACCATGTGCTGGTGTGAATTGGTTTAGAAAGAATTGAAGGCCTTGGGATGTCCTAAATTACTTTATAGCTAATTAATTACCTCAAAATGATTTCAGAGCATATTGGTCAGGAAGCCAATAGAAATCCCGTGATAAGTGCTGGAAGATCTTGTAAATTCACCTGAAAACAAATCTGGGCCTTGTTTTCAGAATGTTAACACTCCTGAAAGTGTCAACTAAGATTATGTGCTCGGCTATCTGGATCAGGGCTTGACATTGGTTTTCTGATTCAGTTGTAGGAACAAGATCGCCTGAGGCAAGACTGACGCCATAAGTTTAAAATAAAGCCACGTACTTATGAATAACTACACTGTATAGGAAATAATAAATCTACATAAGTACTAAGAGGAAATAGAGTGTTATAATGAGATGTCTCTATAAGTCCTGCCCACATTATTGAAAGTATGCATGTTTTTATTGAATACTTTTTTTTTTAAATCCCCAGGTGACATGTACCAAGGACAATTAACAGATTGTGTTCCTACCAATGCTGAGCAGCTCAATTATATTGAGGTATTTGAGACACCCTATTACACGAAAGTTTCTATATAAATACAAGCTGTCGTGCTGCTATAATATCTGTATTCTGGATTGGAAGCAATGCAGATAAATACCATCTCTGGGAGAAAGATTAACCAACAAGAAAGTACAGAATAGCAATTCAGTTTTACTGTCTCCAGACCAAAAACCATTGCAGCAACAAGTCAAAAAAAAAAGCACTGTCTTGGTGCTATGTGAATGTTATATCTAGTTATATAGTTTTTTTTTGTGAAATGTTAAGTTTCCCCTACTCCATGCACTGGAACATAATAAACAAAAGAGAGAAATAGAAGTGTCCAAAAATGTGATATTTTTCTCAGGAGATCTGGGTGCCAGTCCCAGAACAAAGCAAGCATGGGAAGTAAGAGGCTATTCTCATGCTAACCCAGAGGAAGGAGTCCAAGAGAACTGTGCGCACACAGGACTGTGTAGCTAAAACAGCTATAGAAACCTCATTGTGTCGAGAGACACAAGACAGCAAGCACAAGGAAAGGAAAAAAAAAACTTTTCATAGGAAACCAAGAAAATGTTATTTTCTCAAATGTAAAACTGTAAAGTGTTCTTGCATACTGCTGTCAGTTAGTCAATTGGTCGATTAGCTATTTGTATGGCAGAGTGATCCCCCCACCAGGTATGGTGACCCTTGGTTAAACCACCACTAGTAATCTCATCTGATAGAGCAGGACAATGGTCCTGTGTCACTATGGCAACTTTACCTTCACCTATCAAGAGATGTGGCTTCAGTGATGTTAACATCAGATCATCTGAGAATTCAGCAAAGTTCTGGAATGAACCTTTGTAGCCTCCAAATATCAAATGATGCATTTACACATTGTGGTCGTATCTGTTCACTGATTTGCTAACATGAGCTGAGGTGTACAAAGGTATAGCCCATTACCCCTGTTCAATTGACGGGTAATCCAAAAATCAGAGAAAATCAGCACAGTCTTAGTCCTGAGTTTGGACATTAGACCTATATAAGCTGTCTGTTCATGCTGTTCTGAAACAAGCTGTGGGGAGATGTGTGAAATTGCCCAAGGATCATATTAAATTTGTCACAAGATAGGACGGTTTCAATAAACTAAAACAAATAACTCTTGAGAAAGTGAATCGCAGCCCAGGTGTTGAAACTATAGTGCATTGTTGGGACAATATAAAAGGAGTTTCACCCTCCTTTCCTGTGGTCTGCCTAATCTGCAAGTCTTTGACCATTAAAAAGAGTTGCCAAAATGGTCATGTTGCCCAGGAAGGGTTGACAGTTCTATCTTGGAGATGGAATTCCCTGCTTTTGAAAAAAAATTCAAGGAAAACATCACAGTAACCAGCTCTAAAATGTTTATTAGCTTTAGAAAATGGTCACTGCTGTAAATTATTACATAAAGAGGAATTACATATTCAAAGTAATCTGAAATCTGCGAAATAATAGCCATTTCCCAAATCTGGATTAAAGTAGACCTTGTTGAAAGTTGAAATCAAGGGCATTTTAATCAAGTTGTGATTGAAGGGAATTAGTTTAACATTCTTGAAACCTGTCTGAAAGGAGGCCAGTCATTTTAATGTCAACCCCAAACAACCAGCTATCGCTCTGAATAGAAAAGATTCCAAAATAGTAGGAGATACAAATTAATCCACATTAATCTAATTCTATCCCAAATGACAACATCCCATGATCAAGAACAAATGTAATAAATGTTAGCTTCTGAGACCTGACAAGACTGTAACTATGAAACATAGTACACTGTAGATCAACTTCTTTGATACTTTGATACTGTACCCAGTGCAAATAAAATTTGCTCTGGTGCCCAGTACTTAATGACAATACAGTGAATTTAGAGAATTGCTCCTGTTTCCAGGACACCAGAGTTTATTTTTCTGTATTTCTTCAATACCTATTAAAGTAGAGAATTTCTTATCTCCCCTCCCACCATCACAAATATCTCTGCTGCCTGTGTATTTTCCATCCCAAACATAAAAAGATAGAGGTAGCCTCAATTTAAATAACACCCTTTCAGCATCTCTGGACAACTTACAGTGCACAGTACAGCTGATGAAGTACTTTTCAAGCAATATCACTCATTATCTAGGAAACAAAGCAGTTAATTTATACGTGGAAAGGCCTGTCAAACAGCAGTATGATAAAGACGAGCTGATATGTTTACTAGTGGTGCTGGTTGAGGGATAAATATTGGCGAGTAATTGGGGTTACTGCTGTGCTCTTCTTTGAGTAGGGCAATGGATTATTTTATGCTCACCTGAGACAACAGGTGGGGCCTCAGTTTAAATCTGCACCTTCAACAGTGGAGCCATCTCTCAGCACAGTTCACCTGACCTTAGTCCAGATCCTCCGACAGTGCATACCTCCCTTAGGACTAACGCTCTGATATCGTAGCTCTCCCTCAGTTCTGCCACTTCACTCCATACACTCAGTGCAGCGTTCACTCTGGACTGAATTTGGGTGTGTTGGCTTGCAATATGTTCTCTAGTCTCTGGAGTGGAACTTGAACCTATAGCTGTCTGAGTCACAGGAGCAAGTGTTAGAGTCAAAGCTGATTTCTACGTGAAATAACTGCGCAGTTGCTGGTATCCCATCACCAATTCACCCTCTATTTACATGTGCATAGTACATGACACTGATCCAGTTTCGTCAGAGCCAGCTGTCAGACTGAACAGAACCTCCTGTCAGCCAGGGCTCCCTGATTGGGCCAGATTAACAGCCCCAATCAGGGAACTCATTTTCTACCAGGTCCACCTGGCTGACCTTGTTACAGTCACTACATCCCTCCCTCACTACGTCCGGGGACATAGGCCTGTTCTTTTTCTTGTAGGATCTCCTGGGCCATTTTCACAAAATAGGTCCAGTTCCTCGAACTCAGCCTAGGATATGGGCCGCAGGTACTGGACCATAACCCATCTCTTCTGCCTGGAGCATCACAGAAGATATCCATCTTCTTCAGGTGGTAAATGCCACCCGGTCCACCTCAGACTCCAAGGTTTCTTCGATGCTCGGAGGACGGCCCACTGATTCCAGTCTGCATCAGCCAAAGTCCTGGATGCACATGCTGTTGGGTGTTCCTCTCCATTGGGCCATCTGTGAACCAACACAAACCCAATACTGTACTGGGAAGTATTGCATGTCAGCACCAGATCTCACTTGGGATCTCAGTGTGCCAACACCATAGATGATGATAGCTTCTTCTTCACTTCACTAAAGGCTGTGTCTTGGCTAGAAGACTATTTCCAGGGCTAACCCTTTTTCAGCAGCAGATAGTAAGGGTGCCAGAATGATGGCCACATTACAAATGAACTTTGTTTAATAATTCACCAATCCAAGGAAAGATCTATGCTCTGGTACGGATGTGGGAGCTGGGGCACCTTTGATCGCCCTCACTTCATCTTTCAACGGATGTAACGCAGTCTTGTCAACTCTGCAGCCCACGTAGGTCACCTGGGGGGCCTGGAACACGTTTTTCCCTTCTAAGGTGAATGCTCACCTGGGAGAAATGTCTAAGCAATATGTCCAAGTTCTGTAAGTGCTCTTCATTTGTCTTCCCTGTTATTAACGCATCATCCACATAAATGGTGACCTGGAGTAGAAATTGTAAAATGTTCTCCATTGTCTGCTGGAAAATGGCACAGATTGCCATTTGGGATATCATCAGTCTCATTGATTGTAACATACTTCTGGGAATCCTCATCTAACTGCAATTCCAGGTTTACCATTTGTTTAAAATCCACACAAGGGTGAACTGACCAATCAGGCTTCACAATTGTTATGGTTGGTGCTGCCCATTCAGCACACTTTGCTGGTTTGAGGATTCCTTTACTTTCCAGCCTTTTAATTTCTGCCTCTACTTTTGCACCTAAAGGGCACGAGCTGGGCCTTGCAAAATCATGGAATTGCTTCCTGGTTAACATGCAAGTTGGCCTTGGATCCTTTGATAGTCCCAATTCCTTCCTGAAAAACTTCAAGGTATTTAATTTGGACTTCACTCAGGCAGCCATTTTCTAATCAAAAAATGTTGAGCCAATCTCGGTGAATTTTTCTCAATCAATTTTGCTCAGTTCACTTGGGCCCAAGTCTGAATCGTACAACCCGTGGTAACTGAACCAACTGCTTCTGATACAAAGTTGTACTCTTTATCTACAAGTGTTCCCTGGTATAGAACCTAATCTAGCTGCAGTCTTGTGTAAAATCAAGCATTAGAGTCCAGAGTGAATTTTGTTATAGACTCGTTCTGCAATCACTGATACAGTGTGCTGGTATCAACCTCCACTAGAACTGGGTGACCATTTAACAAGATGTTTATTTTGTTTTGCTTCTGGTTTGGATGTTGCTAAGCATTTTAACTCTTCCAAGAGAAGTGTAAATAGGCTTTCCAAGATGTGTACTTAGCTGGATAACAGCCCATGAGTTTTCTTAATTCAGGCCTAGTGGGACTCTTGCTGCTTCAAGTCCACATACTGGCAGCAACTACAATGTCTTACCGGCCCAGATCCTGAAGAAAATGGTAACTGTTTGGCTGAGGCTTGGCTTTATTTTGGGGTTTTGCTGTGGGCTGACCTAGAGTCCCTCTGTTCAGAATATGAGTGAAGCTATGCAATTGCCTTCAGTCAAATGGTGTTCCTCAAGCCTAGCAAGGATATCAACTTCCATCTGCATTCTCTGTAATGCATTTGCTCCACTTCCACATTTTCTAATAATCTCTAATGCCTGTCCAAAGTCCATTTGAACTTCAGCACTATTAGGCAATTTTGCATGGTTACATCATTAATCCCACATACCAAATGCTGTCAGTATCTTAAGGGTTAAATCAAAGTCACATGCCTCTGCCAATCATCTTAACATTGTCAAAAATCTAGACATGGATTCCCCAGTTCTCAAGCCACTAAGCAAAACTGACAGCATCTCAGAATTAGAGGCAGCTTGGGGTCATAACATTTCTTAACTAAATCCATCAGCTCTTGAAAGGTTTTAGTATCTGGTGCCTCAGGAAAAATTAGACTCCTAATAATTGAGAAAGCTGTGGGTTCACAAGATGTCAGGAAAACTACTCATTGCTTTTCATCTGCTCCAATATCATTTGTCCAGAAAAGAGAACACATTCTATCCACATGCTGGGCCCAGTCTTTGACAGCAGGATCAAACAAGTCAAGTTTTCAAAATAACAGCATGATGCCAGAAGTGCTTACCCCAACTCAAAGACAACTGTTGTGAGCAAGTTTCTTCAGGACCAAAGTTTTTTTTTTTCTCTCATCACCACTGAAATAACTTCACAGAAGCTGGTTTCCCATCACCAAGTCTCCCCTTATTTACACATGCATAGTACATGACACAGGTCCAGCTGCCTGAGAGTCAGCTTTCAGAAGGTACAGAACTTCTGACGGTCCTGTTTATGTCTGTTAATCAGGGCTCCCTGACTGGACCAGGTTATAAAGGAACTCTTTATTCTATGAGGCCCACTTGGCTCAATTCATTACAATCACTACACTGTGGTTATGTTCACTGCCCCTTTTAATACTATTGTTTGATCAATTGGGCACAGTCCACTTTTGGATAGTCTTTGAGCTGTGAATTGACATGTTCCAATGCCTTATTCTGTGTCTCATCTTGTACACGCTCAGGCTCATGAAATTCCTACCTCATGCCTAGAAACATTAGACATAATTTGCAATGTGCTTTGTACTCTTTCGTCTATCTACTAAACGAGTATTTTGTGTCAGTTTTCCCTGTGGAGAAGGATATAGAAGGTAGAGAATGTGGGGAAATAAATAGCGACACCTTGAACAATGTCCATATTACAGAAGAGGAGGTGCTGGACAGCTTAAAACGCACGAAGGTGGATAAATCCCCAGGCACTGATCAGGTGTACCCTAGGACTCTGTGCGAAGCCAGGGAAATGATCGCTGGGCCCCTTGCTGAGATATTTGTATCATCGATAGCTGCAGGCAAGGTGCCGGAAGACTGGAGGTTGGCTAATGTGGTGCCACTATTTAAGAAAGGTGGTAAGGAAAAGCCAGGGAACTATAGACCAGTGAGCCTGACATCGGTGGTGGGCAAGTTGTTGGAGGGAATCCTGAGGGATAAGACTTGTATGTATTTGGAAAGGCAAGGACCGATTAGGGATAGTCAACATGGCTTTGTGCGTGGAAAATCGTGGCTCACTAACTTGATTGAGTGTTTTGAAGAAGTAACAAAGAGGATTGATGAGGGCAGAGAAGTGAACGTGATCTATATGGACTTCAAAAAGGTGTTCGACAAGGTTCCTCATGGTAGACTGGTTAGCAAGGTTAGATCTCATGGAATACAGGGAGAACTAGCCATTTGGATACAGAACTGGCTCGAAGGTAGAAGACAGAGGGTGGTGGTGGAGGGTTGTTTTTCAGACTGGAGACCTGTGACCAGTGATGTGCCATAAGGATCGGTGCTGGGTCCACTGTTTTTTGTCATTTATATAAATGATTTAGATGTGAACATAGGAGGTATGGTTAGTAAGTTTGCAGATGTCACCAAAATTGGAGGTGTAGTGGACAGCGAAGAAGGTTACCTCAAAGTACAACGGGGCCTTGATCAGATGGGCCAATGGGCTAAGGAGTGGCAGATGGAGTTTAATTTAGATAAATGTGAGGTGCTTCATTTTGGAAAGGCAAATCAGGGCACTTAATGTTCAGGCTTTGGGGAACGTTGCTGAACAAAGAGACCTTGGAATGCAGGTTCATAGTTCCTGGAAAGTAGAGTTGCAGGTGGATAGGATAGTGAAAAAGGCATTTGATATGCTTGTCTTTTATTGGTCAGTGCATTGAGTATGGGAATTGGGAGGTCTTGTTGAGGCTGTATAAGACATTGGTTAGGCCACTTCTGGAATACTATGTGCAATTCTGGTCTCTCGGCTATAGCAAGGATGTTGTGAAACTTGAAAATGTTCAGAAAAGATTATAAGGATGTTGCTGGGGCTGGAGGGTTTGAGCTGTAGGGAGAGGCGTAATAGGCTGGGGCTATTTTCCCTGGAACGTCAGAAGCTGAGGGGTGACCTTAGAAGTTTATAATATCATGAGGGGCATGGATAGGTGAATAGCCAAGGTTTTTCACTGGGCTGGGGTAGTCAAAAACTAGAAGGCATGGGTTTGAGGTAGAAGGGAAAGATTTAAAAGGGACCTAAGTAGCAACGTTTTCATGCAGAGGGTGGTATGTGTATGGAATGACCTGCCAGAGGAAGTGGTGGAGGCTGGTACAATTACAATATTTAAAAAGCATCTGGATGGGTATATGAATAGGAAGGGTTTAGAGGCATATGGGACTACATTTATGTAGGATATCTGGTCAGCATGGATGAGTTGGACTGAAGAGTCTGTTTCTGTGCTGTACATCTCTATGACTCTGTGACTATCTGAAGCTTGGCAGTGATACTTAAAAAAAAAACCTACACTTGCACAATATTTGTAATCTAACATTTAATGTAAAAGCAAATTTTCTGATCCCATACAAAAAAAGGTTGTTATTAATTTAAGGTTATTTTATTGATAAATGTTGACATATCTATGTAATTCCCAGTTAATATGTTTACTATGACTCCACAATGTCAAAATTAGGAGCAGGAATCAGTCATTCAATTCCTCAAGGCTGATCTGCCATTCATTAAGATTATATTTGATCTAATTTTGTCCCCAACTCCACAATCCCACTAATAATCCTGATAATCATTGACTACTTGTTAGTCAAAAATCTATCCAGCAATAGCTCAACCAACTCCTATCTATTTCAGTCTGCCAGCACGAAAGGTTGCGGTTACTCATTCACTGTTTTCCACTTTATTGAATGTTGGGATTCCACAAAATAAAATTAAGGAATAGAAGCAGGAATAGCCTGCAAGCTTCCATGCCATGCAATGAGATTGTGATTAATCTGCCTTAGTTCCATTTTGCCACCTATCCCCTTAACCATTGATTTCTTTAGAAACTTTAACTTTTACTGCATCAGTTTTTTTAGCCACTATTATTGAAGCTTAAATCTTTTAATTGTAATAAGATTAATTTACTGTGAAGGGTTCAAGATTCCAGTGTAAGTTGTTTGGAAAGCACAATTACTGAGAATAACGCATGAAGATGTTAAGACACCTCTTCTTGTCCAAAAAGTTTAGAGCATCTTGTAAGTTTTATGTTTCACAATTTAGATGCAAATCCCAATATTAATTTGTTCATTTGAGACTTTAACCAATAAGGCAACAGGAGTCAGTGTGGTGCGTTAAATCAGGAAGCTTTACGTCAATTGAAAATAATACTTATCAAAGCAGGCCAATGACTTTATGGGTGTACTACTGCTTTTACTTTCTGGTTTAGCTTAGGCCTCCAAGGTCGATAATTGGTCTCTGGTCTCTCTTTGACACTTGGAGAGCTTTCTGCCTCCGGTTTGGATAGCAGGGTAACTTCACTTTCAAATTGCATGTCTTCCCTGGTCACTGAAGGCACTTGCTTTTAACTATTTCCGAACCACAACAGCATGATCAATGACATCAGTACATTCAGTTTGACTAGATTAAGTGAGGCTCATCGCTACTTGATTTAAGGGGATGAGTGATCAATCTCTAATTGATCTTAAGGATGTAAACCTTGACTGATGTCACCTCCCACAATCTCCTGACAGTTCCTTAAGTAATCAATTATCCAAAGAACCCTCCTTTTCATTTTCTTATTGTCACTGTATGACTGAGCATTTGCTTTTCTTAGAATCCTTTGTTAAATTGTTTCTTTTCTTTCTCTGCGTGGAGTTGAATGCCTTGAAAAAGTTATTTATTACCTTTTTCTTAAAGCCAAAAGATATAGTAGAAAATGTTGCTTGTAACTTCAAATCGATATAAAACTAATACAAAAGATCACAAGTACGAATCTGAACAAATCATTATAGAGGGAATGTTAAAGTCTAAAGAATTATCCAATTACAAACTTAAACACATTATTATAAAGTTAATTTTAAATGTCACATATTGTAATTTGCTTCACTTCGAAACAAATTTAAACATTCCAGTACAGCTGTAGTTATGATTTAATAATAAAGGTGAACGAGCCAGGAGTATACTACGTCTGCCTTATTCAACCTTGGATGTCTAGCTATAAGCTACGCAAAAGCTAAATAGGGGCCCCTTGGCCTTGCAGATGTAACTCTAAGAGATTTGAGTATTATCTTCATGCTGTTAGCAATTCCATGATGCATTCCTTTGTAACGTGAAGCTAAGCAGAGTCATATGATGTTGAAGTACCACGATCTGCGTTGCTACTGAATAATATAAAATTAATCAATGAATGTATTTTGATTTTGCGGTTATAACTAAACTAAATCAATCATGAAATATTAGTTTCCCTACTAATCTGATACTCTGCCTAAACTGATAAACTAACGTATGTCATTGCATCATGCTAATATCACCTGTATTTTCTAGACTAAGACTGATGCTCAATACATGCACTATTTTGAAATGATATTACTCTTGCACTCCTTATATGCTGTGAAGAGTGTTAAATCCAATGCCTACATGACTGTCAGTTAACATGTGAAGATTTGAATTATGCAAAATAGCACATTGGTTTGCAGGAACCTGATTCCATGTTACCAGAAACAGAAACAGAACCATGTCCAGGATACAGCACTTTCACTCATATACGTTATTGTAACAGAAACCTTTCAGTTCTGTCATTTAATCAGCTATATTAATGATAACGATTTTATCTGGTGTAGAACAATTCAAAATGCTGCCACAGCATTTGTCATGCAAGTTTCTATCAATTTCATGGCCAATTATGTTACAGTTTGACAAATGATGGATTTCCTTTCTGGCAACCTTTGTTGATATGATGTACTTTCTACAAGACTACTAATCCTGTGGTTTTTTGCGGTCTCCTGACTGGCCTGTATTCTCGTGCAGATACACGTTAAAAATAAGAGTGTCAGTACCTGTATACCACAGATTACAGTTACAAGTGTTCCAACAGTAAGTAACATTAAAGCTGTAGTTTTAGTGCCCTTACTGCTTCCTAAGTGTATTGACTCGAGCAATATACTAACTAACTAAAGAACCGTAAGCAAGAAAGAAACTTTTACTGTGGATGTGTTTGCTTGCCAGCAGAACTTAAACTGTTGGTTAATATTTGTGACTGACTTAATCAACACTTAGTTTTCATTTGTTCCTCTCCTCTCCTGAATAATGTAATCCTTTCCTAAAATACAATACCAGAGACAGTTATTACCCTCCAGCTTTGCCCATATTTGAGCTAGGAAGTGTTGGCCAGCTGTATACCTGGAGCAGCACCAGGGCGAGCTCAACCTCTCGCCATTCATTCAGGGATTATTGGATAGGAGCAGGAATCCTGATCTCTTTCTTTCCCTAACCTGCATGTGGCAACAATTTGTCACCTTCCTGTATTGCCTTTGCTGACACCAACTTTACGGATTAACCAGGACTTTCCTGGTCTGTTAGGCTCCGAGAAGTTGATATTCCCTGAATTACTTCAAGTTACACTTATGGGGTGTTTTCAAGAAATAATAGAGAAAGTTCAGGCTGTTTTGAGGAGATGCTATAAAAAAATTCTTGGAAGCTGGTAAAAGTGGTCTAAACTACACAGAGGTAGGAGCGTTACGTGTGTGCTGAACCCTTAATTTGGTCTTCAACATACTATCACCGCTGTAATCTGTAGGTTTCCTTAAAGGTGTCTTGTTGCACTAACTACTTTTGATGACCAATTGAGAAATTATATTTATATAAGAAAGTCATTAAAATACATTCTGTGCTTCTGTGTGCACTAAATACATCCCATCATGTTATGATTAGTTTTATTAGTAAGATAATGAACATATAATAATATTTCAATATTGATATGTGATTTACTGAAAAAACCTATATCTTCAATAAATTTATGTTGCTTTTATAGCATCCTAATCAAATTTGGTAGTCTTCGCTTATAAACTTTTCATAGCGTCAACATGATAATTTAGGATAAAGGTTTTATTTTGTTTTTATACTGCTTTGTAAGGTTTCTATCTACATTTTGCAGTCTTTGACATTGGAAGGGAATGACAGGCTAAACAATAGCATTGTTCTTAGATTTAGTATCTACCCTGCCTTTTCTGGTGTTGTGCAGAGTGTCCTATTAAATTGTTTCCCATGAGATGAGACACAGAATTGCAAGGCAGTGAACAACTTCACATCTTGCACTGCTGCTCCACCATCAATAGTCAGGGAAATAATTCTCCCTCCTCCTCTATTTTGATTTATCTCACCTCACAACCCATTAACAACTGAATAAATTATTTTTTTAAGACGATGCTTGCTTATTTATGTGGAGCAACCTGCTTGCTATCACTTAATCCTTTGCCTTCCCTACCTTAATAGTTCATTAAAAGGAAGACCTTATTTATCAGAAGTTTGTTTTATATTATTTTACAGTTTTAACTGAGTAGTTGTTATGAGTTTTGTTTACAATTTAAAGTACTAATGTGACATGCTGACAGAGCAGTTTTGTCCTTAGTAAATGTAAACTCATTATCTCTTTAAAATCTTTTGTTAGATTTAATCACTTATGAAATGTTTCTGCATAAGTCTCCGTTAATAGTTGAGAAAAAAATTATGCAGCAATTTTACTTGTAGCTGGAGTTCAAAATATGATATAGAATCCAATCAAAAATCATTAGAATGAAATGTCTCTGAACATATTAAGTAGGAGCTTGCAGTCTGAAAGGAATGTTTATTAAGTATGAAGTATATAACTGTGTGTAGGCTTTTAGTTGAAGTGTTTAGCTTGGTTTCTTGCACAATATTGTTTGTGATATATTTCTGAAGGGAGTTTGTGAAGTTGTATGACTAAATACATCACTTTAACCAACATAATCATATAACCTTTAATGTAACATTAAAAAGGATGTTTGTTCTTGGTCTTCATGTGTGAGTCATTAAATGTGATATTAAACCCGAGCTTGAGTTTGGAAACTGCAGTTTTAAACTGTTTTGAAATTGTATAGTCTAGAGTGAGTTTTTGGCAAGTCTGGGTTTGTTTGACAATTGTCAGAAAATCGTGTTCAGAATTTTATTCAGGTTTGTTTCAACACAGCCTTAACTCACTAAAAGATAATAAATAATTAAAATTTTGGCACCAGATGAGTTGTTGATATGTGTCAGACTGCTGTCCCTTTCAAATAATTTACATCATTCACTATCTTGGATCATAATTTTCCAGTGTTGTTAAACAGATTTAAATCATTACTATGAACACATTAATTCTGTTAGGACTCCGGATTAAAATAATTTTTTTGATGCTATCAGAGTTTTTCTGGTGTGCTGAAATTAACCTAGTAATATTGCCCCTCTCACACTGTTAATTACTAAATCATATTTATTATGTTAGTGTTGAGTTTCTGAACCAAAGTGTTTTTTATAATTCATATTGGCAATTTAGAGTGGACATGTGCAAAACAAGTTTTTTACTTTGTCTTGTATTTTTCTCTCAGGAAGGTGCATCACAGCAGCCTTTGCAGGCCTGCAAGATTCATGTCCTTGTCCTCGTTCTGCATGGTGGCAACATTCTGGACTCTGGCAGTGGAGACCCAACCTCCAAGCAGGCTGATGTCAACACCATAACTTCTGTCTTTGACACGGTGATGAGAGTACACTTCCCTGCAGGCCTAGGTCACATAGCAGTCAAGCTGGTTCCGTGCCCGGCCATCTGCTCAGAAGCCTTTTCACTGGTATCAAAGTGAGTTTTCCAGCTCATGTGGTGCAAAGGATATAGTTAGTGGCCAAAAGAAATACAAAGTTTACAGCATTCTTGGTAGCTGTCAAATATTTGTGCATACTGTGTGCGTAAGCTACTTCCTAAATGCTCCAAGATATTATGTATGTATTTATATTGAAAAGGTGGAGCTATTTAAATCTCTTCTTGCTTTATGTAAAGTCTGTAATTGTGCCAAACACCTTTCTGCTGTTTTATTCATATTACCAACAAAATTATTAATCATGTTAAGTTGCACAAAATAGAACAAAACACCATCTAGACATTGTGAAATAGCATTTACTGTTGATCATGATATCAAAATGACATGTCATCTGTCATAGGGAAAATGTTAGAAGCTGTTACTAAAGATGTTATAACAGGGCACTTGGATAAGTTCAAGGTAATCAGACCTCGTAACATGGTTTTGTAAAGGGAAGACATGTTTAATTAATTTATTGGAGTTCTTTGAAGAAGTAACATGTGCTGCAAATAGAGGGTATCCAGTGGATGTAATGTATTTATGTTTCCAAAAGGCATTTGATAAGGTGCCATGTCAAACATTATTGAGGAAAACAAAAGCTGGTGGTGTAGGGTGTAACATATTAACATGGATAGCTGGCTGTCTAACAGGAAGCAGAGAGTAGGAATAAGTGACTCTTTTTCTAGTTGGCAGGATGTTACAAGTCATGTGCTAGAGCGGCTGGTGCTGGGGCCTCAACTCTTTACAATTTATAGAAATGATTTGGATACAGGGACCAAAGGTATAGGAGCTAATTTGCTGATGGCACAAAGATAGGTAGGAAAGTGAGTTGTGAAGAGGACATAAGGAGCTTAGAAAGGGATGTACCTATGTTAAGATCTAGCAAATGGAGTGCATTTTCGAAGAAAGAATTAAAAAGAAGCACATTATCGGAGTGGTGAGAGATTGTAGAGTTCTGAAATGCAGAGGGATCTGGGTGTCCTCGTGCATGAATCACAGAAGGTTAGTTAGAAAGTACAACTAGTAATCAGGAAACCTGATAGAATGTAATATTTTATTGCAAGGAGAATTGAATGCAAGAGTCGAGAGGTTGTGCTTCAGTTATACAGACTGTATCTGGAGTACTGTGTACTCTGGTACTGGTCACTGTACTTAAGGAAGGATGTTTATGCATTGGAAGCAGTTCAGAGAAAGTTTACTAGACTAGTGCCTGTATCCTCTGGAATTTAGAAGAGTCAGAGGTGATTTAATTGAAACATTTAAGATACTGAGGTGACCTGACCAGTTGAAAAGATGTTTCCTTTTGTGGGAGAATCTAGAACTAGGAATCTGAGTTTAGAACTAAGGGGTTGCCCATTTAAAATGGAGATGAGGAAACTTTTATTTTCTCTCAGAAGGTTGAGAGTCTTTGGAATTCCCTTTCCCAAACAGCAGAATTTTAAAATATTTTTAAAGCAGAGGTAGTTAGATTCTACTTTACCAAGAGAATGAAAGATTATCAGGAATATGTAGGAATATGGAGTTGAGGTTATAGTCAGATCAGCCATGATCTTATCGAATGGTAGAGCAAGCTCGACAGGCTGAGTGGCCTTCTTTTGTTCGTTGTCCCTATATTCATAAATATTCATGTTTTTAAATTTTAGAACTAGGAAATTATTAACTTTATTTTATTCATTAATATTATACAAGTTTTATATTATTATGATCTACACCTATTGTCCAGTACTTTACAGTGTGAAAACCACAGACATCCACTAGTTGGTATACTGTTCTAGCTAAGAACATAACATATAGGAGCAGGAGTAAGCCATACAGTCTCTCAAGTTTGTGCACCATTTAGTAAGTCTGTTGCTGAACTTCTCCCTCAATTTTACTCTCCTGTTCTATCCCAATATCCTTCAGTATCCAAAAATCTGAAAGTTTCTGCCTTGAGTATTTTCAATGGCTAAGGATCCATAGCTCTCTGGGATAGAGAATTCCAGAGATTCAAAACAATCTGATTGACGAAATTCATTCACAACTAACTCCAAAATGATTGATCTCTTCTCCTGAGACTCTCATCCCTATTTCAGAATCCCCAGCCAAAGGATACATCCTCACAGTGAGCCCTCCCAGAGTTTATTGCATACACCTACACACATCCACATGTGCCTGTTCCTAGAGCTTTCCTTAAGTTGTACAATCGATTGGATATTTATAACCCAAAGCAGCATCAATAAAGTGAAATTGACAAAAGAAATTACTCCCTGACTTGGAGATGGATAGGAGCAGACAGTATGGGAAAGTATTTAATCGGGGGAGGGGGAATTACAGTGCTATTAGGCAAGAACTACGGAGCACCAATTGGGATCCGATGTTCTCAGGGAAATGCATGATAGGAATGTGGAGGTTGTTTAGGGAGCAGTTGCTACAGATATTGGATAGGTTTGTCCCACTGAGGCAAGGAAAGGATGGTAAGGTGAAGGAACCTTGGATGATAAG